ACCCAAACATAAACACTGATTGCTGTGCTTGGCTGCTCCTGTCTCGGAGTCTGTTTGGTGAAATCACCAGCTGGCTCAATGCTGTGCCACCTGGTTGATTTCACAGGAAAAGTCTTTGACCGGTTCAGCAGGCATTCCTGAGTACATCGTCCAGCTACGCCTGTTTCAAAATGCTTAAAATTATAGATCACAGTAAGACTGGGAAAAAGAAATCAAATTGCAATTTTTCTGAAAAAAGAAAGAAAAAAAAGGTTTGCTTGTTTGCAAGACTGTGTAATTTGGCCAAACATTTTGTGACTTTGACCAATGACGACTATAAAATATTAAATAACAAATGTATCATACGACTTTATATCAATAATATGACTATAAAAGATTAAAATAACTAATATTTCACTGTAAAATATAAATTAAAAATAATAATGGTTTTATTTTTACAGTACAACTGTAAAATTACTTTACTAATATTTACACATATACATTTAGACTTTCAACAGATACTACAAATAAAAAAAATATTTGGTAATACTTTAGTTTAATACCAATTCTCACTTTTAACTAGTTGCGCATTAGCATGCATATTACTAATGTATTGGCTTTTTAGTAGTAGTAATAAAGCAAATATTAATGCCTTATTCTAAATGACCATATTTTAGATCCCTTAATCCGACCCCATGCCTAAACTTAACTTAACTTCCTTACCTATTAATAGCCAGCAAATTTTGAGTTTATTGGGGCGAAAGTCATAGTTAATAGTGAGAATTGGTCCCCAAACTAATGCGTGACCAAATATTTAATATTGGACAGCAATTGATATGGTACCGATGTATTGTGCATCGTAAACAGTAATAATTTTCTCATGTACAAACTGGGCTAAGTTAAATATATCTGGGTCACCATATAACCATAAAAACTGCAGTAAATACAAACAAAATGTATTCTCATTTGCATGAACATGCTATATATCTGCATTATAAATATTCAAAGCAATGGCATTCATTCCTTTCCACAGAGTTCACACTACCCCACGAACTGCAAGTAACAGCATTGCAGATTCTGTCACAACACCTATTTCCACAAGAATTCAGGAAAATACAAGATAAGTCAGCCTTAGGTAAGATGAAAGGAATTTGTCAGGTTCAAACCGTCTTCGTACTAGCAATGGGTGTTACTTCAGGAATCAATGAGCTCAGGCAGAAGGACGGGTGTGCATAAACAAATTACATCAAATACTGTTTGGGTGTCACGTTCTGATAATTGCACAACAATAAACAGAACAAGCTGGAATGCTCAGTTAACATATAACAACTAGCAGTTTGGATCTTTAGAACAGTAGCTAGCTCAGACTCTTGACTGACCTACCACAAAACTACTAGTGTTTCGGATCCCTCTCAGTTTCATCCTAAATTTAAGTTTCATTGTCTAAAATGGCTGTTTGTGTGGAAGAAGTGTTCTGTTTTGCTGATGCTGCTGTTCTTACATTTTTTTATTTCGCTCCATGCATATCTGTTGCACTAGTGACTTTATCTTAACCTTGTTTTTCCTCATTAAAAGAGGATTTGTTTCACATGAGCCTTTAGGACATCCTGTTCCCAACACACACAACTTTTCTGTCTGTTTTCTGCACTCTGGATAGTTCCATGAATGCATAGATTTTTAGACTAAAGGTTGAACATTAATTAAATTGGAATTTCTATTCTGATTTTAGAAGATATAGTGGCCTCAAGAAGTATTTAGACTAGTTCAATAGTTCAATAATGAAAATCTGCTGATAATTTACTGACTCTTGTGCATCCAAGATGTAGAGGAGTTTGTTTCTTCTACGGAACAGATTTAGAAAACTTTACATCACTTGCTCACCAACAGATCCTCTGCAGTGAATGGGTGCCATCAGAATAAGAGTCCAAACAGCTGATAAAAACATCACAATAACCCACAAGTATTCCAAACAACTCCAGTCCATCAGTTAATGACTTGTGAGGTGAAAAGTTGCATGTTTGTAAAAAACAAATCCACCATTAAGGCGTTTTAACTTTAAACTGCAAATGATGATAAAACAAATGATGCTAGAGCTTTTCTCAGAACAAACTTTTCTTAGTCACTTTTGCAATTACTTTTAATCAAGTGATCTCAAAGTGATTTTGCAATGACTTCCATTTAAGTGTAGCTTATGTGCCCACTACTTTTTGGGTTCACTGTATGTTCGCTGTATGTTTGGTTAAGCTGTTAAATGCGGAGGGACTAAAGTCTTGTCTATGAATCACAGGAAGATACAGAAATCAGACACAGCCTCCATTGTATCTGCAATCGCTAACACTGGAATCTCAACAGAGTCCTTTTCTCATATCCTGTTTTTACAGAAACACTAAGCACTGCCTTCTGAACCAATCACAGGGCAAACACAGCGAGAAAGAGACCGAGATGGACAGAAAGTACCAAAAGCACTTAAAATGCACTGAGGGAACAACTGCTCTTTCGCTTATCAGATGACCTTATGTAGGTCACACACACCACATGTGCTTACATCCAGCAGAAAACAGACAGATGGCATTAGGGCAGGGGTGTCCAAACTCAGTCCTGGAGGGCCGGTGTCCTGCACAGTTTAGCTCCAACTTGTCTCACACACCTACCTGGAAGTTTCTAGTATGCATAGTAAGACCTTGATTAGCTGGTTCAGGTGTGTTTAATTGGGGTTAGAGCTAAACTTTTTGCCGAACAGTGGCCCTCCAGGAACAGGATTATACACCCCTGCATTAAGGGGTTCATTCAGGAGTTCCTCCGCTCCCTTTTCTAAGTTTGATCAAAATAAAAAAACAATACATTTCCTTTTACTCTTCAACAAAGCATTTATTATCTCTGTGTTCACACGTTCTGGGGATTAGTCTGTTTGAATGTGCTTATTACAAGCCATTCATTTACAGATACTTTACTAAAAGAACAAAACAAGTCCTTATGGTACTTTTACTGTTATTTAGACAAAAAATTTAAATGTGGGACATAAATTGCTACTGATTCAACTTGTGTTGAGTTTACAGTCAACACAAGAGTTATTTCCCGAGCAATGTGACCTTTGAGGATGTCATGTGACCTTTAAAATGACAAATCATCCACTGTACACATCCTCTTCTTTTAGCTCCTCAATCTGTACTGTACATATGAATTCCAACTGTCTTCACGAGTTATTTGACCTTGTTTGGCCAGTACCTAGATGGCAACATTGAAATACAGAGCAAGAGTTTCACAAAGTACTGCACATCAGTGAACAGCTTGTCTCTTAAGAACTTTTCTTCCATCCTCGTGGTGACCTAGATTCAAAGTTTGAAAGGACTGGGACATTAGTCCAATCCCAGCAGACACAAGCCCTAGTTTAATATGTCCTCTAAAAGATATGCTGAATGAAAAAAATGCTGAACCCCAAAACAGTCTGGACTGACAAGATGTCCCCTCTACTTCAACAGCCTTTGACCTTTACAAAACACTAAGGCTGTGACTGTAAAATTATACACAGTATAAAGATGTTGCATTGATACTTGCTTCAACATTTTTAAATTTGTGCAATGATTTATGTAATTTTCTATAGATCAATTAAAGCTGAAGTGTGTAATTTCTCCACCGCTAGCGTCTCTAAACAACATAGAAAAAGTGATTTTCCAAACACTGTCATGGGTCAAAAAACAGATCGCTCCACATCCAAAAAATATTTTAACATCTGAAAACACTTAAACAACATGAAAAAGCAAGTCAAATACGCTCAAAATCTGAGACCAACATCAGAGCCCTTAAATCTAAATGAACTGAATGAGAAATAGAGAAACTGCACAATAGTTTCAAATATCTTGTTTGTGTTTGCTGCAGTTTCAATCATGATTTATTTATCATATCCTGACGCATCCCAAAGTATTGAATCGACATGAATCTGATCATAACAGGGCTTCGGACTGCAAGTGAAATGGTTGCAAATACAAATGCAAATCTCAAACGGTGACTTTGATTATGTATAATAAAACTGATTCTATAATTTCACTACTAAAAAAAGAAAACCAGGCTCACTGGACAAACGTGCTTGGGGTGACATTTCTGCAAAATTATATTACATTGCTTTTTACATGTTGCACGACACTTTTAAAGTGAAATGTCCAGTGAGTGGTGCTAAAAGGAAACATACCACCTACACTAAACCTAATCAACAGTGTTAACAAAAGCAAACAGGAGATAAAAACACATTTGTTGAAGCAATCACGCAATTTTAACTTGCTGACAAGTCTTTGAGATCTTTGTTACAGGTGAACAAATTTACTACATCCGAAAAGCCATGCATGGCTGGTTATGCAATGCAAATGGAAAAAAAGTATTTGTTATTCGATAATCTTTTTCCTGTATTTATAAGTTGTGTGAGAAGAAACTAGTTTTTCATTTCAGCTAGAAACTGCAGTGAATTGTACGTATTGGTACATTTTTGGAGTTTTGCATAAAGGCTGAAAAACAGTCAGTTTGGCTCTTAAATTTTTCATTTTATAAGCAATGGCACCTGGAGACCTGCAGAAGGTAGTTGGCAATATCCAACTCTACTAAACACCATTTCATCCATCTGTCAGCTACAGTCATTGAATTACAAGGAACCAGATAGTTCTAATAAGACAAATACTCATTAGGAACGATATAGTGTCTGATATAGTGGGGAAAGCCAGCAAGACGTTCACCTCAAATTAAACCCACTTGATCTCACTTCAGTCGAAGAGGAACTGAAACTGTAATAAAAACCCACTCTGGTGTTAGAGCTGCCGTGAAAGCAGTGATCAGACACCTGGGCTCAGATATGTCTGATTATATGTGTTAGGAACCATCTCGCAAACTAGAGTGTGTGATGAAGACTCCTCCCATCATGGAACTGACAGACTCTTCATCATCTGCTTCTGACAGATTGGACCTTGGGAACACACACACACAAACACACACACACACAAATACAGAAAAACTTGTATTTAAAAGCCAGTAGTCACCTCTGATTTAGCCGCCGTTCATCGTCACTTCCAAAGTCCTGGGAAAATAAAAAGAAAGTGTGAGTGAAACAGAAGTTAGTAATCTAAAACAATAGATCACCAAGACATGTCTACACTGTTTTATTTCATTTTATTGCTTCGAGCCTTAAGATAAAGAATAGAGCAGGATGTAGGATTTTCTGATGTAATAAATCTAATTATGTCTTCACGCATCTTCTACCTAAACCAAATTATAAGTTATAAATTCAGCATCTGTTGTGAAAATGTCAGCAGAATTCTGGAATAAATAATGGAGAGGCCAGAATCCCTCAGGCCTCGGAACTTTTCCAAATTCCACAACCTCACCCGACTCAAACCCAGCGCAACGAACAACAATCTGGCCTAAACATTGTTCTTTCCCCTACATGATCACTCTCTCTCTCTCTTTCTCTGCTTAATGTGTAACCTTTAAGCACAATACAAGACCTATGTGTCCCAAATAACAAAAAAGCTTTGATGTATCACTATTCACAGCAGCGTAATATGACAAAGAAGAAATGTTCTCTCAAAGCTGAAAACATGAAGAATGGGGCCTCTTCTTAAGATAAGGTTTCATCATAACAAAGACTGTTTTTAAAATAGTTCTTCACTGTATGTGAATGTGACGGCCCTGATTATTAGGTTACTGATAGTGGTATATAGCACTGAATGAAGGCCGGGGAGTGTGCCATGGTCAGATGTGACAGATGCCTGAAGGCGACGAAACCGTGTCAGGGGAATTGGCTGTGCCAGGGTTTCTGTCACGTACCAAAATCTGTCACTTCATGCAGAAGCTTGGCTAATAAAACTTTATAAGCAGGGCAGAATGAGGAGTTGAAACAATGAGGTTTGTGAACAGAAACAGAGATTTTAAAAGCATGAGGCTTCTCTGTGATTTATAACATACTAAGAGGATGAACAGATTGATAGCACTAGGCGAAAGGTGAAAAATAAGAAGGTAGAAGTCAATACTGCGGCTGAGCATTCAAATATGCACAATCATCCTAAAAAACAGTACGACACAACCAAGACGTTTTTTTTATACATTTTTATACATTTTATAGAGCACAGAAAACTAAAAGACTTTCTTGACTGTCGTCATTGCTTACCTCATTGCACAAGCCAATGATGTGCTGTCGTCAGTTGATGATCATGTGCAATATTTCTTCATTATTTAATTTTCTATATTATTCAAAAAACTAAAACATTTTTTTTGTAGGTACCTCAATTGGGATACTGAAGAGTTCAATTAAATGTTCATGGTGTATTATTTTGGTTGCATTCGTGAGTTATTAAATATAACGTAACACTTTATTTTAAGGACCAATTCTCACTATTAACTAGTTGCTTACTAGCATGCATATTAGGGCTGTTTATTAGTATCTATAAAACACATAGTGATGCCTTATTCTGCATGACCATATTTTAGATCCCTTAATCCCACCCCATACTACTTTATTAGCTATTAATAAGCAGCAAATTAGGAGTTTGTTCAGGGAAAACTGTCACATATTCAGTTAACAGTGAATATGTGTTCCCTATTCTAAAGTGTTACCAAATATAACTGCTTGTGTAAAATAAGCACATAATATTGTATTGTAAGTTTTATGTGTCCTATCATGCATGAGCTGTAATGACTCAACTTCTTACTTAAACATCGGTTCTATTTGTGACTAAATGATTAAGAATAGTTCTGTGAACTGGATCAACAGATTAGACACGAAGCTATTAAATTCCACGGTTTCAGAAAATTGGTAAAGCAAGAGTCATATGGACCACTACTATAATACTTTTATGTTTTTTTGTCACAAATGTCCCTTCAGTGTTACAGGGAAGAAAGAAGGTCATACAGATTTGGTACGACATGAGGGCGAGTAAACGGTGTCAGCATTTTCATTTTTACGTGAACTAATCATTTAAGAAAGCAAAGAGGGTCTATTTTGGTTTCATGTTAAATTGAACCCAAATACCACACAAAGCTTCTGCAGATTTTTACCCTTGGAACCTTAAAACCGCTATTCCTCTTTAACGAGTTTTTGTTTTACATCATTGTCTCTTGTTACCTCTCTACCCATCCTCTCTATCAGTCTATCCATCCCTCTCTTTCAGTCTCTGCATGAGATGACCTCACTGCAGCTGCATGTTCCCCAGTCCTCATGTTTGAGGTTGTGATGTGAATTCTAAATAGTGTGTGTCCTCACTAGCGTAGCACATTATGCAATTATTCTTAAGGCCCGTTCACCAAGAACAATAAAGATAACTATAACGATAGCTACATTAGCATCCACACACCAACGTATGATAACATTCTGTTTATTTTAAGCATGTGCTGCAGATTTGCCATCTGCCGCTTTAAATACTCAAGCTCTTTATGGACTCTGATCTGCCGTCGATGGTTTTATCATTCATCAGCCGCACAGAATCGTTCTGCACATGATTCCAATGTTATCATTCTTCTGTGGCATTACCATTATAGCTGTGATGCGGATTCGGTTTTCTTTTAAATTGAGAATGCTTTTTATAACTATATCTTTATTGCTATTGTTAGTTATCGTCCTTTGTGTGAACAGACCTTTATATTTAACCACAATATAGATTTAAACATTAAAGATCTAAACCTAATTGGCTAGGTTTTAATCCAACTAAGACGCAAAAGACAGCATTTCCTAAATGTTTCAAGAACATTGATAATCTGACCCTGTTACTGTTACAGAAACACAATTAAAATATGATTTATAACCTGAGCTGTGTGTATATGATAATAATAGTACTCAAATATCTAAAATTCATTATGTTCACTGTTCTTTGTGCTCTCCCATTCAAATGTGTAAAGCCAGCGCCCCCTATTGGGTATAAATGGATTTCTAAGGCAACTATGATGTCAAAGAAACTATTATGAAGGTGGAGTGCTTTCATGGAGGAAAGACAATTAAAGCCTACAAGAAAATTACTTTTCACTTTTTAAAACCACCACCTGAGAAGCACTAACAATGAAAAGCAATACAGCTCTCCTAGTGAGACTGGCTAAAAGGGTCTCGCTCCTAATGAAAAGGTAAAAACAGGAGGCCTTTCATCACATGAGAGGAGCTTAGCTGTGCCAGGGAACAATGACTTAGATTGAAATTTCTGTTGAGCAGAAATGCAGGATAGCCCATGACTGAAAAGCACCCAACATTTTTGATGGTTCCCCTTTTGAATGAATGGAAACACACAGTCCAACACAATATCATGAGGTACATGCAAACAAACTTCTCCCTGTACTACTACTACATACAATGACAGGAACAACATTTCAATGATAGTTTCAATATAAATAAATAAAAACCAAATGTAGTTGCATACACATCTTGCCATATAAAAGTTCACTCAGTAAGTTTCTGTTTCAGTTTAGCTGGTTCCTATTCATCCTACCAATAACAACTGTTACGTTGTGTCTGTATATAATATAATATGTGTTTGTTTTATTTAGATGTACTTTCGTGTTTATTTTTTTATGAAATTGTGGAAAAAAAGATGAACAACAGTTTGTAAATAAAGCTTCAAACTGTCTTGAAAATGTTCAAGCGATGCTGTATATTCACGAACAGTAACAATACTATTCAGAACAGGATAGAGATAATGGAAAGAAGAGAACAAAGAAAAAAAAAACATGGTAATAACATTACAGATATTATTCACAGTAGATAAAAGGTCTCATCACAGCCTAAAAGAAAAAGGTACATTTCTTACTATTAAATGAAAAATAAAAAATAAAATAAAAAACACTTGCTTTCTAATCTTTTTGTATTCTATCGGTTTTCTTTTCATTTATTATACAATTAGCAAAAGCAAAAAAGACCTCTAACACTAGCTTGCTCTATTCTATCTGTTTTCTTTTCATTTATTACATTATTTTTAAAAAACTTGCTACGTGTGCTGCATTAAGCTAACTGAGACTTGTTCTAGCACTTGCATATCATTGCTCTTTTGTTGATTTTGATTGCTTCCATTGTCCTCATTTGTAAGTCGCTTTGGATAAAAGCGTCTGCTAAATGATTAAATGTAAATGTAAGTGACTTTCAAGTTACATTTTAAATAAAAATTCTACAAACACTGGTAATTTTTAAGAAAACTTGTAAAGAATTTGTTAACTTAAAAAAAAAAAAAAACATTCCTAATACAAAGTACATAATTTGTATTACTTTCATGTTTATGCTTTGCACAGCACCTTGCACACTGACGCACTCAGCTGAATGACACGCCTGGTCACGTGATGTCAACATTGCGGCGATCCTGAAGGGACGAGTCGCTCCATATCAAATAAAACAGTATTTTATGGACGGTTGATATGTCTTAAGTTTTCATTTTCTGTGGGTGTACATAATTGTACATTTGATTTTTCCCAAAAGTGTCATTCATTTATCTATATACCGTTTTAGTAAAACATACTGAGTGCACCTTTAAGGCTTGGCGTGTTATTATGAATAATCCTTAGTTAAACCAGTATCTGTACCAAACGAAACAGTAGTTTTTGTAGTTTGTTCACTAAAACTAGACCTATTCTTTCACAATCGTTAAACCACAAATTGCAGGACAGCCTGGAAACAAGCCATTAGCTCAATAAAGTACAACAGCCCCGTTAAACACTTTCTCCTGGCAACAGTATTCAAAAGCATCACCCCTAAAAGCCTGAACCATAAACACGGTCTACCAGCAGAGATTAAGCACCATCACAAAACACACAGGATAATCAAGTAAAACTTAAGAATTATATCTATGCCATGTATAGCGCATAAAACGCCCAAAGGCGAATCATGTCATCTCACAACAGCAGATAGACGCAGTGACACAGCGTCCAACCCTCCATCAACCCTGATGGCATCCCGCTAGCTAGCTCTGCAGTCTGAGCTGTATTAGCATTAGGCCTACGTGACTCATATGGGTCCTGTTGTGTTTTAATGAATCATTACATCATCACATCTCATCTCAGCGTGTTTATTTCCGCTTACCTCCCCCGCGTTGGTGGTGGCGGTGCTGGAAGTGGACGCCGCGCTGGGAGTGGGCGAGCGCTGCAGGGTTACCAGAGCCATGGATGGAAATCTCCCAGCACAACGGCCAGTCTATCTGTCACGAGCTAAACCGACTAGCGGGATTTTCCCCTAGCAGCAGCGCCAGATATACGGGGATTGCGCTGCGACTCCACGCGCTCGAAGGGACCGCTGTTAAAAGGCCATGGCTGAGCCGCTGTTCGGGGTTTTTTGTGTTGCTGATTCCGTTTTGACATGAGCTGGATGATATGTTGGTGCTTCTCACTCTCACCCACTGCCGCATGTGGCTGAAACTCAGACTACTGCTGCTGCTGCTTTCAGCTCATACATCCTATAGTGTTGTTTCTGTTGCGAACGAATCGGTGTTTGTGAATGAATCTTTTAAGTGAACGATTCACTTCCATATTTTTCGGTCGCCGAGTCCCTCCCTTTCAAAGCGCGTGACCGCTTTTCTGCCTTCAAAGACTGGCTATAGTATGGACAAATAGCATTCGAGTATGGGCTGTGTAGGAGCATATCATTGGTTGAAATTACTGAACAAACACGCCCTTCACTGAACGAGTCAGTGTTTTGAATCTGAACGAGGCATTTCGTTGGACATTTGAATAACCTGGGAGTCTACTAGTACCTCTTGTATGTGGAAAAGTAAGGATGTTATTCAGGCTGTAGTGCTACAATTGTTGTTTTTATAACTTGATAAAAGCCATGCCATGCATTTGACAAAAATGAATGTACAGTGGTAGATTTCCAACTGTGGAAAAAACGTCTGGAGTATTTGTAGAGGTCGTGTTTAAAGAATGTTGCCGCCGCAAACGACTCAGCCGAATAACGAGTCGGTTGAATGGTTGATTCAACAACTTCGGTGATTCAGCTGTTTTTCATTAATTCATTAATGCCGCAAAAAAAAAACGTACTTCTCGCCACCTACTGGTTTAACGATATGACATGCCGGGCCACTGGACCAATCCGAACGAATGTTTTTTGCTGAACGGCGATTCAAAAGATTTGAGCTACTGAATCAACTGAACTGAATCAAAATACCCACTACTGATAAGCGTAAACATCCGGGTGGTTTGGAGGAGAAAAGTAATTTTAGTTGTCAATAAGGTGTTATGAATATCTGTTTATCTGTATTGTTGTTAATTACCAAATCGAGCTTAAAAATAAAAAAATGTAATATGTATATTTAAATTATGAATTATTTGCCTTGTTCTGTGTGTGTGTGTGTTTAAGTTTACATAACATATTATAGTACTTATTATAATATTGACCAAATATAGGTTTCCTAAAGTATGAATCCCAGAGGTGGACAAAGTACACAACTCTATTACTTGAGTGAAAGTACAGATACTGATAATCAAATATTACTCCATTACAAGTGAAAGTCGTAAAGACAGATTTTAACTCAAGTAAAAGTACAGAATTACTTTTAAAAGTACTTAAGTACCAAAATAAATTTCCATTTTTATGTCAATGCACTTTTTTATTATTGTTGTATGTAATACACTTGCAATAACTTATGCCTCTGAAGCAACTTACAATATAACACACCTGAATACACTGACTCGCTTGTAGTATCTTTGGAATAAAGAGCTTTTAGAATGTTAAAAATGTATAGAAACTAAACAAGTGAGTTGACCAAAACAAATTTAACACCCCCACAAAAGCAGCATGGTAGTGATCTCACATAGCTCTGGCAGTGTGTGCACACATCTACGAGTAGCCATTCATCCACATTTGAACCGAGTGGGCAGTGAAAATGCTGTAAATACAGACTGATAATAATAAAAAAATCAAACCTGCTTTAAAATGCAGCAACACAACTGTATTGTAAACTTTACAACAGCAACACTGCTTTAACAAAACAGCAAGATTTAATTTGACATCAAAACAAACATTTAAAAAATGCTCTCTCTTTGTGCTGCTTCAAGTCAAACACCTATTGTGATTTGTTAGGAGACGCACAACAGTTCTTCTGCGGCTTTATAGGTAATATTTTCATTTACACAGTTTTGCAAAATCAAACAATATTGTGTCTAATATATACCACAATATTAACTTCTCATTTTAGAATTGTTTTAAATAAATATCACATTTGCAACTGCGTGTTCAAAAAATGCAGGGCAATCACTTCATGTGACCCTACAAGAGAAGAAAAAAATCACCCACTGACTTTCAAAGCTGCTACATAACAACATTCTACTTTGAAGACCTTGACAGAAATGTAGTGTCATAAGTTTCCAGGGGAAAAAAATACTCAAGTAAAATACAGATACTTGAAAAGTGTACTTAAAGGCACAATATGTAATTTTCACCGCTAGACGGTGCGTATTCAAAACAAACAAAGAGACAAAGGCGTAGTTTGATGACGCAGTGTCTGAGTGTGGAATCGTGGGAGTTGTCGTCTTCATCCCCACAGCTGATGCAATCCGACGGGACTCGGGCAGAAATCATGTTCATGGATGAGCTAATGATTTATTAACGTAGTAGAATGAAGCAGGGTGAGGCTGAAAGCCGTCGAAGCGAAACGAGGCAGCTGAACGAGCGTGACACACGTACGGCTCGAAAGCAGCAGAGCTTTTATTATGCCACAGTCGACCGCTTCCGCTCCTTCCGGTCGTGCGTATGTGGGGTAAAGCAGCCCTGTTTTATCATACAAGATACATTTGAAAGTTCTGTTATAATGCTACTCTGTGCGGTCGTCACCTGTCTAATAAAACGCACAACATATTAAAGCGTCTTTGGTATTTTCATGTTTTCTACAAAACAAAACCAGAAATCGAGGGTGTATGACGTCATTGGCGGGCGACACAATGACACTATGGACACGGTTCGTGTCACGAGTTAAAATAGCTTATTTCTCTGGATTTAAACATTCTTCGAAACATTTGGTATACTGTAAGTACACAAGTCAACAAAATATATAACACTGTTGTAGTGGTTTTTGGATATTTTAATAAAAAAAATCTTACATATTGTGCCTTTAAATACTATTGCCTATTAATTAATTTATTTTCTCAAGTGTAATATTTAACAGATATCAAGAAAGAGCCACAAGAGGCTGGTTTATATATATAACCCGGAGGACTTTACCCCATGCATCATCAAACTTTGTGTAAAAAAAAAAAGCACACGTTATGGAAGTTACGTAATGGGCAAATTCTGGTTTTGGCTTAAATCGATCTGTGATTGCATTGCATAAAGCAATGAGAGAGAGTCAAGAAGAGCTTCTGGGGGAAAAAATGTCTGGTCAACTTAATTCAGGTGAGTGAAACTGTGTTTCTTTTATGGATTCTTTCCAGCTTGGTATTAAAGTACATGCAATGTATTACCTTTTAAACTATAAAGAGCTCACAAAAAGGATATCTAAAATAATGTCTTTCAAGTTTGTATATATGAATTATTTGCTTGTGCAGATTTCTCTGAAATATGCATGCATGTTTTTGCACGTTATTTGCAAAGACTTATCATTTTCATCCATATTAAGTCAGCTGTAAGATTAAACACATGGCAGCACTGGTGAATGGTGACATTTTAAATAGAACTGGCTACATTTTATTTGCAAATAGGATTCCAAGATAAAGAAGAAAATAATTTAAGAAATAAAACTGCTGAGAAAGTAAAAAAAAAAAAAAAGCCAATGGGGTTGTATACAAAGAACTTTCCCACATATATAAAACAAATTACATTTTCAAATTTACTAAAGATGTACATTATTTTCACATTTATGGTACTTTTTTTCTGCAGACATGAGGGTGTGCATCATTGGAGCGGGGGTCATCGGCCTCTCCACTGCTCAGAGCATCTACCAGCACTACCACGACAGGATCACCCCTCTCAGCATTGAGGTGTATGCTGATGTCTTCACTCCACTCACCACCAGCGATGGGGCAAAATGAGACTGGAGAGAGACCATGTGGTCTGGACCAACCTCGTTTGAGGTGAGCTCATTGTAAAGAGAGCAGTATTTCATTTCCTTAACTTTGCCTTTTTTCAGACACCATGCTGTTTTCTTTCACCTCAGGTCATTCATAACTACGGACATGGAGGTTTTGGACTGACCATCCAGCTGCTTGTCTCTTTGGTCAGATCCTGGAGCAGAAAGGCCTGCGAGCACACTCTAAATATCACGTCTCTAATAGATCTGGACTTCTGGACAATGTTAGCCATAATTTCATCAGACATCAGCAATATCCTCCTTAATCCCATAACCACTCCCATAATGATTCCAAAAGAAACTCATGGATTTCATGAGTTTAAGAATGTATCCTAAACTACTGGGATGTAAATGTTCATTTATTAATTTTAATTACTCTTTAATAGAGTTTTAAAATAAAAGATAACACAGAACTGAATTGTCAGCATGTTGCTCAGCTAATGTACAATAAAGAATCCGATGCTAGCATATTTATGCTTTCATCTAATGCTTTGTTAATTAAGCTTTATTGTTATCATACACATGTACATCACGTGTAGTAGCTAGGTATCCCAGGGTCCCCACTCTTTGACTGTCTGAACACTATATTCAAAGCAGTGGTGTTCTGAAATGAGGAGGCAAAGTCCTAATTTTTATTTTTTTATCAAATGTAAATTCATGTCCCTGTCACATTCTCTTGGTTAACGCTTGGTGACGGCACCTCCGGGTTCTTCAGGCTGAATAGAGCTGTTTTACTGTACATTAGCGCTTCATTCATTGGCTTCTTCATTCATATTTCCATCAGGGTCGGCGGGTCAGCACAAATTTGGGATTTTATACGCAAGTGATAATAATTCACTGTATTTCAGTAATAGACAAACATGAACATAAGTGGCTGATTTAACATTTTAAAGCACAACTGTTTTTTTGTTTTGTTTTTTTTTTGTTATAGAAGATGAGTTGTTTCGTTGCCCAATGCTTCACATGGTACAAAGTGCTAATAAAATGTTTTCATGGCAAACTTATGTTTCCTTGTTTACCTCTTAATAAAATATTTAAGCCTACATATGGTTTCTGTTATAATTTTTAAAGGTTCCTATTTTATTAAATAAGTGTCCACGTGACATCATTAATCCAATTATTTATGTAGCCACCCCCTCATTGTGTGTGTGTGTTCTAATCTGTGTATATACAGGATGAAATTAGTTTCAATTATTAACACTCATTGTAGCCACATAGGTCTAGCTAAAAAACTATCAAATATAAAATCACTTGGAGCTGTAAATCTGTGCAGTAGCCTACGTCGAGAGGACTTGCAGATTTTAAGAAAAGAGACCTTCACTGTGATTAATATAGTTATTTATTACATAATGACTATAACTACTAAAAACCTAAAAGGGGTATTCAGTAAATAGAGTTCTATTTTCTTTTTAAATGAGCAGTATAAAAGTATAAATAAAAATATACAGCAGAGGATATGAACATTTATTGCTTAAATACGAACTTAAGCACAATAATAATATTTGCTGTAGATCAGATTTAATAACAGCTGTTGTAGTAAACAAAAAACTTTCAGCATTCAAAATATATATGTTTTCATGGCAAACTTATGTTTCCTTGTTTACCTCTTAATAAAATATTTAAGCCTACATATGGTTTCTGTTATAATTTTTAAAGGTTCCTATTTTATTAAATAAGTGTCCACGTGACATCATTAATCCAATTATTTATGTATCCACCCCCTCATTGTGTGTGTGTGTTCTAATCTGTGTATATACAGGATGAAATTAGTTTCAATTATTAACACTCATTGTAGCCACATAGGTCTAGCTAAAAAACTATCAAATATAAAATCACTTGGAGCTGTAAATCTGTGCAGTAGCCTACGTCGAGAGGACTTGCAGATTTTAAGAAAAGAGACCTTCACTGTGATTAATATAGTTATTTATTACATAATGACTATAACTACTAAAAACCTAAAAGGGGTATTCAGTAAATAGAGTTCTATTTTCTTTTTAAATGAGTAGTATAAAAGTATAAATAAAAATATACAGCAGAGGATATGAACATTTATTGCTTAAATACAAACTTAAGCACAATAATAATATTTGCTGTAGATCAGATTTAATAACAGCTGTTGTAGTAAACAAAACACTTTCAGCATTCAAA